GAGAAGGCCCTTCTTCTGGGTCCCATCAGATGTACTTGTTTAGGAGATGGGACTTGTAACATTCTGTGCCTCCTCATTCTAGTGGATTGGGAAGAGATGGTCCCTTATATAACCCATTCCCAAGCCATGAAGGGCTTTAAAGATGCAAACCTTTCTATTTCTTTTATTCAGTCCTCCCTCTGAACAAACCAAGATAAAGTGTCATAAATATAATTTAAGAGCTGAAGACTCATGTTGCTCTCGCTCTCTACATCCCATGAAAGTCCCCAGTGAAGACAATAACTGTGGGCATTATGGAAGTATGCAATTTTGAATACAGAAGGAGTGGAAGGTAAACAGCATGAATTAACAAATGAAATAAAATGATGTATGAAAATGAAACAGAAGAACACAATAGATGTGAATGAAAATGGCCTAATTATGTGAAAAAGAGCTAACAAGTACATGTACAGAATGGAAGGTATACGTTTAATTATGAATGAAAGCACTAAACCTTATCCCAGAAAATATAAATTGGTATCATGTAGGTATATGTGAAAGCAGAAATACATAAGTTGGTGATACATGCAAATTACTATCTAATGAAAAAGGCTGTGGATGAGAAAAATAATGCAAATATGGAAATATTTAATATAACTAATGACAGAAAGGTATTGCATAATGTGTACAAAGGGAAAAAATAATTATGAGTGTAATCAAAAAGAAAAAGAAATTTTAAGATTTAAAAAAAGAAAAATACAGTGTAGTTTTGATGAAAATAAGAAAATGGGAGAATAGGGATGAACAAAAGTCTTTCTGCAGAGCAACTATAATTAAAAATAGATGTGATTAAATGATTTGGGATGAAACTGAAGTGATAATGCATGAACTGAATGAAACTAATGCTATATATAGTAAAGTCTAAAGAAATGATGGTCTGTAGGTTTTCAGGATGTTAACTAGAAAATATTAAAATATGCATCTAGTTTACTTAAGGAATGGCAGTGTAATTTGATTAACACTTCTGTGAAGACTAAATCTATACATGAGAATTGGATGAATGCCATTGTGTTCCCCTATACAAAAAGCATGGTAGGGAGAATAAACGCAAAAAAATACAGGGAGATCAGTTTGTTAACTGTCTTGGAAGATGCTTGGCAGAATCCTGATTAATAGATTATGTTATGAGTAATTTGAGCCAAAAAGCTGTAGTGAGGTTTTGCGCCAGGCAGAAGGCATGCAAATCAGATATTTATATTCAACGTGTCACTGAGAAATGTATACATGTGAAAAAGAAAGTTTATTGTATTTGTTGTTTTAAGAAAAAGGTATGGTCCCATTCGATAAACCTCTTTAATGGGGGAGGGAACACATAACATACCTGGCCTCTCTGATCTGCTGAGTTGGAGAGATGTAATGGTCCTTCAATTGGTCCTTCAATCATGCATGATCTGTTGGTTCACTGTTGCACAGCCTACACTTGAAAAAAAAACCCCTCCTGGCCATGATTGCTGCCTGCTCCTTGAGCAGGATTCTTGAGTCCAGGAGAATCCATAGATTGTGCACTGGGTCCATCTGGGCAGGGCAACCCCATTCAAAACCAAAGGTAGTAATTCTCCATGGACCAAAGAACCCCTAACTCAGAGCCATTCTATCTTACCAGGGCTCAGTTTTAGCCTGTTGTTCCCCATCCAGCTCTTAACAGACTTGAGGCATTGTGAAAGAGAGGTCATGACACTAATTCACCAGATATCATCCTTCCCCAGAAAGAAACAGGTCACCTTAAAGAAAGTGAGCAATTATCTGCAGACACACAATTAATGTGGATATGTATTCATGCTTCACCCTCTGAACTGCCAGGAGGTAGGCTTTGATAGCAGCTTTTACCTGTATTTGGGCAAGTATTATCTTCTACTAGTGGTGCTCTAGTCTAGATGTCTCTTCATATATTTCTCGATTCCTCAGTATGCCATGGGTATGGGGTCCTGAGGACCAGGGTCAGGAGAGGTCAGATGGGTGCAATCCTGTTCAAAGCCCCAATCACCTCCCTATTCCAGGTGACAACTAGGGATTTGGCAGGACTACACAGCAGATCTTCACTTATAATATCCAGCTCTTTTTGAAAGCCATTTGAGTCTATTGGTTAATGGGGGGGGGGGGGAATGAGACTGATCTAATAGGTCCTGACTCTCTGTGGAGAGGGTAAAGCTCTAAAAGAAGCTCATTACCACCAAGGTATGATGTGACAATGACAAGGGGATGAAGGATAGGTCTGCCAATTCCAGATCACATAGGCACAGCTCTGACAAGAACACCAAATTGGGTGTTTGACCCTGGCTGATCTGAGTCAGGCCCATGGTAGTAATCAGTTCCTTGAACTCCTACCCCTGCCCCAGAGATGACAGAACGAAGTCCTCTGAAACTATAAATCTGGGAATCTTCAGCCCTGCAGTGAAATCCAGGAGATCAGGCAGGAAAGCTGCTACACAGCAGGGAGGCTGCAACAGTAGCAATCCCATTTGGTCCCTCAAGCCCAACTTAAGAAAAAAAGGCACCCTTGGAACAATGCCCCTGGAAGCTATCAGAGATTCTCTGATGATAACAGCCACACTGCCTCCCTGCCCTGTAGTCTAAGCTGGTGCCTCACTTGATAACCAGCTGAGCACATTTCTGAGATAGGAACCCCATCTCTGCCCTCAGCTACATCTTGGTGATATAAGTGAGATCAGCCTTCTCTTCAAGAATCAAGTCAGAAATAAGACAACCCTTATTATAGGCCGATCTGGCATTTAAAACCAGCAGTCTAAAACCAGGCCCTCCACAAATCTACTGAAATGGATTGAGTTCAAGGGGCTGAAAGATCAATACCAGATACCAAGGGCACATTTCCTAGGAGGTGACCTGCCCTTTGTCTCCTGCCATATTTCCCATTACCTGACACCACCGAAATACACTGCCCTACTCTGCTTACTCCACCAGCCAACATTCTTGCAAACTTACATATTTATTTATGTACAAAGTATGTTGAATTTCACTGACAACTGGCTCATAGCCAGATAATTCTGATGAATTATACTACGGTACTTCCACATTATTAGAATCTGTAAAAATGAGGCATTTTTTCTTGAAATGCAAGGCATGATGGTAAATCACCTTTCCAATTTCAGAAAAAAAAAACCTTAAATGCTTTATATCACAGTGAAGGTTAAGTAACAAGAAACAAAAACAATTCCTTTTAGAATACTCTGAAGCAGAATTTTCACAATGTCTGACGAAGTAAAGCATCTCATATGTGGGACTGGAGAATCTGGCACTATGTTTTCATTCGGATTTGCTCTTTGTAAATCTTTGTAACTCATTAGTACTGGAGTGAAGGGATAAGCAAAAAGAATTGGCAACACAACCAGCCCCATCTTTTGACTAAATCACATCCCAAATGAAATTAAAAAAGGGGATAGTCTTTGGGAGATATCAGGAGGATTGTGCTCCAAGCAAGAATCTCGTTCTGATGTTCTTATCACTGATGATGTTACCCAGTTGGGTAATGAAACATCTGCAAGCAAACAACCAAGCTCAGAGAGCACAAAGGACTTCACAAGAAAGAATCGAATAATTAATCACATGGAAGGTAAGGGGAAACAACTCCTTTGAGAATGGAAGATCTACGTAAGAAAATCTGTTCTCACTACAGATTGTAAACACCTTTATGATACATACTGGATGTCCTTGAGTAAACTGTTTTGGAAAGTTTTTGTGAAAAGCAGTATGTAGTTAAATCAGAGGGTGACCACTGCTGGTTTGCAAATAGTAATAATAAAAAAAACACCACAATCTCTTGTGACATTATACAATTTTGCAAGATTTGGGTATTCTTATCCAGAATTATTAATAAATAAAAACAGTGCAAAACATGCTCATTAAAAATGTGACAGGGAGGAAGGGAAAAGCAAAGTAAACAATTCCTCCCTAGTATGTTTTGCAGTCACTGCCTGAGAATATGCACTGAAGAATCTTATAAAATATTTACATTTATTTACACTTTATTAGCATCTTTAAATTTCATCCTGCATTTCAGCCTGTTAAGCATTTGCTCATATAAAGTTCCTTTTCCCAGGGGAGAAGAGATGAAAAGGTTTAACAAAAGTGGAACAGTTTGATTAGACAAATTTCATGGAGGATAATACTGTTCACTACATTCTATCCTAAGACCAAGACTCATTGCTAATCCTTCCACTGTTTGGAACAGGAGGATAGAAGAGCTTTTCTTATGATCTCATGAACATATGTGAACTATAAAAAGGTGTTCATACCCAGCTGGAATTACATTAATGCTCTTGTAATGTTTCAAAAAGTCTTACTCCTTTGTTTACCTCCAAAATTCAGCCTGCTCAGTCATCCATCCATCCATCCATCCATCCATCCAAGATTCAGATTTCATTATTCTGACCCACTTTCAATCACCTTTACCTTAAATGGAGTCTCTTCACTATTTAAGTGATTTTCAGTTGACCGGCAGATGGCTAAGTTTGAAAACATGTCATAGCACACTGCAAACTCCCTCACTCCCTCCTCCCCAACAAAGCAAAATGGAGAAGTTCAGAACTATTTCTGTTCAACTGTATATTAAAAGTAACCCAATCATTTTTCATATCTAGAAAAAACATAGTAAATTTTAATAACATGCGCTGAAAAGAAGCTAATGTCAAGTAACATTTTTCAGGGTAGGACAGGGGTCCCTAACCACCGGTCCATGGACCAGTACTGGGCCGTGGCAGCAACCGGTCTACACAAACAAACAAAGCCCCATCCGTGGGATGCAGGCAGCACACAAAACCATGCACCCTCTGGTCCGCGGAAAAACCTCTCTCCACAGAACCGGTCCCTGGTACCCAAAAAGTTGGGGACCTCTGGTCTAGGAGGCCAAGAAAATAAAAAAAAAAGGAATCATGGGGTACACTAAGACTCTCACAGTGCTTTTCTGTTCACAAGTGCTACAGTACATCCATTAAGAATATACTTACCATGTGGTAAAGTTATATTTGCACCATCAATGATTGCTTGTGCCAGTTCATGATCATTGTTCTCAAATGCATGTGATGCAGCCTTCAAAGCATCCCAGATTTCTTTGCGGCCTTCAAAAGCAGGTGCTGTGTCCCAAAATTCATCTCTCTTGCTACGTAGCTGTCCATCTGTCATGGGGTAATCGCTTTTCCATTTTGGTTTCTCCTTTTTCAAGAGCTGATTACGTCCAAGGGCAACTGTATGAAAAAAGAAAGGAGAAACTAAACTTGCCTGTCTTCTCATGGGAAGAATATTCTAGTTCAAGTAACAGCTTTTGATAGTTTTTGACCACAACGTAAACAGCTATTGTACATAATTCATTACAATTACTTATCTAATATTGTACTGGATGGTTCCTTCATTTGCCTAAAAAGTTATTACCTAATTTGATAAATAAAATAAGTAAAACAAAAAAGCCATATCTTATCTTACATCTTATATACTTATTAATTCCCAAATCATATTTCAAAAAGAATGTTTGTATATGGTACTGGAATTATTTTTTCTAATTGCTTTTCACTAAAACTTGTCATATCTTGAATATCATAGAAAACCTAAATAATTTTATTAGTTCAATCTCTCACTTCCAGTTTGTCATTTCTTATCCTGCCTTACAGAGACCAATTTGTTTTAACTGAAATAAACTTCTGTAGATTATGTGCCACCAAATCTGGACTGCTGTTTATTAAAAGCTAATAAGTGTCTCTTAATATAAAGTACTTTCAATATATTCATCCACAGACATACTGCTCTCTTTTTAAAAAAAACCAGAAACATATTTCTCAAATCCACTCTCTACAGGATAAGAGAATGCAACAGTTTTATGAAAAAAAATATTCACCCACTTTCAAATTCTTTGAATTTCTGTACTGTACAGTTCTCAAGTTATGACTTTTTGTTTAAATAGACATTCATAGTATGAATTAACAACGGCCTTGGAAAGGATATTTTATGACCTATAGCAGGCATGTCAAACACAAGGCCCGGGGGCCAGATGGGGCCCGCGAAGTGGTTTCATGTGGCCCATGAAGCCATCCTGGAAACAGTGAGGGAACGGCCCCCGCTGCCTTGGCCCTGGCCCAGGCCAGCCAGGAGCCAATGTACAATTTTGTGGTGGCCAATGTCAAGCTCCGCGGGGCTTGCCATCCGCTGGGGGGGGGGAAGCAGCAGCTGAACGCCGCCGCAGCCGCCCACGCCGCCACAGCCGCCCAACCGCCGCACGCTGCCACCCAGCTCTCCTCCGGTGCAGACCCGGCCAACAGGTACGACCCACCCCCCTCCCCTCATTCCCCCGAGCCGCCGCCTACCGCGAGTGGGTCCTGGAGGCCTCAGCCGGCCTTGCCCAGCGCGGGGGCGAGGGGGGAGGCATGCGGAGGCCGGGCATTGGCCGCGGCCCAGCCGGGGAGCCGGAGGATCGCAGATGGTGGCCGCGGGGCGCCAAAAAGGACCGCAGACGTCGGGGAAGGGCCCGGCCGCGGCTGCCGCCCGCAAAGACCCGCCGAGCCGTCAACCCCTGGCCCGTTGGCCAGCCCATGTGACAGTCAGGACCAAGAGAGCGCAGGCCCTGAGGAAGGACATCTGCAGCGTGAGCAAGGCTGTAGAAAGAAGAACCGGGAGGGTGATGGCTTGCTGCAACAGCCAAGCAGCCGGCGAGAGAACAAGGCCGGCGTGACGGCTGCCAGAGAGGGGCGGGACCGGACTACGGGGACATTTATGGGATACAGACGGATGTTGGCTTGCTGTTGGGGGCGGGGGGAAGGGGTGTGGCACTTCTATATACAGCACTGGGAGCAAACCACTCCCAGTGCTGACTTTGTTTTGGCCGGGAAATAAATCACCGTGCTTTCACCACGTTCCTGCGTTCCTGTCTTTGTCTCTTCGGGACGCCAACGGACGGAAGGTGTCATTAAGTCAGCACTCCCTTATCCAACTGCCAAGCTATCCTCCTTGTTTCGAGGGGATGGCGGAAGGCAAGCAAGACGGTCCCCAGGGAANGAGGGCCCGGCTCAGCAACCCCACGCGGCATGGCCAGGTGGGTCAGGGGTTAGAGGCGCGTGGGAGGCGCCGTCAAGGAGAACACCAGGGCCCCAAGGGCCGGGGCCCGGGACCCAGCCCCTGTCTACCCCTGCTACGGGCCCGCAGGGTGTGGTCCAGCCAGCAGGCCCCTGGGGTCCAGGGTTTGCCTGTGGTCCACCGCCTATCCCTATTACTTTTGATGGCAACCCTGACCAGCTGGCTATGTTTATGAGCCACCCGACACCACGGAGGACCGCAGACGTCGGGGAAGGGCCCGGCACTTGCACAGGGGACCATACCTTGGCACTTGCCCCGGTCCCACTCCCTTTTGCCAGAGACCCTCGGATCTGTCCCACTCATGCCCAGGCCCCCACAGGCACCCTTGATGCGAATGATGTAGAACTGTAGGCCCACCCAGTAGGCCACACCCACTCTATCCACACCCACTCAGTAGGCTGCACCCCCCCCCAGGGCAACCGCAATGCTGATGTGGCCCTCAGTGAAATTGAGTTTGACACCCCTGGCCTATAGAGTGCTTCTGACGATTGCAAAACATCACACACATCCCATGGGATACCATGATTGCAATCTGGGCATTTGGCACTTACAACAAGTTGTCAAGCGTCCCTCAACCATGTGAGGGCTATTTGCAATCTTCCTTGCTGGCTTCCGTGGAAAATCAATGCTTTCTGCTTGGATTTTGGCAGGAAGGATTTTTCAGTCTTCTGACCAGAGAGAAGTTTTTGTGTGTGGCCTGCACTGGGCCTCCCCATTCCCTCTGAGGCGTCAAAAATATGATTTTGCTCTGATTCCACCAGGGAGGATTTTCAGTTCCAGAGGGCAGTGCATTTAAACTAAGGAGCAGAGAGTGCCCCATGGGTATTCACGAGGAAGGATGTTCAGCGTCAGAGTGAAGAGATGTGTCCACAGCACACCCTCTACTTGTGTGTGACCTGCACTGGGCCTCTCAGGGTCTCCCCCACACCCCAAAGCACACTGCACTTCTTACCTGGGACTCTGTCCACTTAACAATTGTATAGATCAACTACTAAAATTTATCAGATCTTCATATAGGTCCTGTTAATTAATCCTAACACTGAAATATTGTGCTTGCTTCATTTATGTCATAAACAAAAGTTATCCAGTGTGAAAATGTCCCTCTTGCGTTTGATAACTGGTTGTACCTTCCTCAGCTGCCACAATTGCAAACAAATGCTTCCTGTAATTTGTAATCAGCCTCTCACATTACAATACTGTGTAGCAATTCTGGCCCATTCCTTCATGGCAAACTGCTTCAACTTAATTAACACTGGAGGGGTTTCAAGCATAAAATGTTTGTTCAGGTTCTGCCAAAATACTTTTATGAGATTTATGTGTGGACTTTCATTTAACCATTCTAAAACAATGTATTATTTTCCTTTAACCATTATCTTGCAGACTTGCTTGTATGTTCTCCAGTAGAGTTTTCTGACCCAAAGTGAAATTTTATGCTTCCTTCAATAATGGCAAATGTTAAAGCCTTGAGGAGCAAAACACCTCCAAGTCATGATAATATCACTTCATGCTTAACAGCTGGGATGAGGTTGTTATGGTGGAATGCAATGTTTGTGTTCCCATCAGAAATAATTATATTCATGTAGCTCAATGGTTCCACTATTGCGTGGAAGGTTCACTTTCTGGCATACTTGGAACAAGCATTAATGTTCTTAATGAGTTCTGGCTTGTTACCCTCCCATGAATATCATTACCTGATGCTTTTTTGGTAATGTAATCTTTAATGCCGACGTTGGCCAAAGACCCCAGGATGTTATTTTATGTTATGATCTTTGAGTGATTTTAAATAGCAGAGCCAATCTTGGGAAGGTTCACTATTGTCTCTGAATATGTACTGATAAAAACTCAGAAATGATTTCATAACTGTTTTACAGAAATCTTTAGATCTTTATTTTTAAAGAATGAGATAAGTGCCGCTACAATCTTTATGGTGAGAACTTTACTGTGATGAAGACAGAGTTCTGAGAAGCATACAGGGCAAGAGTGCCTGAATCAACGTTCATTTTTAAATGAAATATTCACACAACTAGCCTTCACGTTCTCTTTAACTGACTGATTTAGCTGGCGGGGATGGGGTGTGTGGATTACTTTGTCATACTAACACATTGCACATTGTATGACTTTGTTTATACAGTGAGGGGAAAAAATATTTGATCCCCTGCTGATTTTGTACGTCGGCCCACTAACAAAGAAATGATCAGTCTATAATTTTAATGGTAGGTTTATTTTAACAGTGAGAGACAGAATAACAACAAGAAAATCCAGAAAAATGCATTTCAAAAAAGTTATAAATTGATTTGCATTTTAATGAGTGAAATAAGTATTTGATCCCCTATCAATCAGCAAGATTTCTTGCTCCCAGATGTCTTTTATACAGGTAACGAGCTGAGATTAGGAGCACTCTCAGCTTGTTACCTGTATAAAAGACACCTGTCCACAGAAGCAATCAATCAATCAGATTCCAAACTCTCCACCATGGCCAAGACCAAAGAGCTGTCCAAGGATGTCAGGGACAAGATTGTAGACCTACACAAGGCTGGAATGGGCTACAAGACTATCACAAAGCAGCTTGGTGAGAAGGTGACAACAGTTGGTGCGATTAGTCGCAAATGGAAGAAACACAAATTAACTGTCAATCTCCCTCAGTCTGGGGCTCCATGCAAAATCTCACCTCGTGGAGTTTCAATGATCATGAGAACGGTGAGGAATCAGCCCAGAACTAGACAGGAAGATCTTGTCAATGATCTCAAGACAGCTGGGACCATAGCCACAAAGAAAACAATTGGTAACACACTATGCTGTGAAGGACTAAAATCCTGCAGCGCCTGCAAGGCCCCCTGCTCAAAAAAGTAATGTACAGGCCCGTCTGAAGTTTGCCAATGAACATCTGAATGATTCAGAGGTGAACTGGGTGAAAGTTTTATGGTCAGATGAGACCAAAATCAAGCTCTTTGGCATCAACTCAATTTGCCGTGTTTGGAGGAGGAGGAATGCAGTTATGACCCCAAGAACACCACCCCCACCAAACGTGGAGCTGGAAACATTATGCTTTGGGGTTGTTTTTCTACTAAGGGGACAGAACAACCTCACCGCATCAAAGGGATGATGGAAGGGACCATGTACTATT